GATGGATAACTGACCAGGAAGTTGCCTTTCCATTGCACGCCACTTCGTTGCGTGTGAGGAACAGTTGGAACAGAATTGTAAACCGACGCCGTTGAATACTGCGGCTGTGCTGCATGTGCCGATGACATCATGAGCATTTGTGAGGTGATAGATGACGACTGCCGAGTCGGCATTTGCATCGACATTGACGATGGCGTCTGGTTGCTGAATGGGCAATGAATCACATCGCAAAGCATTCTCAGCTATTGTAAATAGTGTGAATAAAAAATTCTACCTATAGTCTACCAACATGCTGGCCACAGCGTAATCTTGTGCTTGTCTCGGTACTGACGTCGAACCGCCACGATTTCCTACGAGAACCGGTCGATGTTGTTGTGAAGACATGGACATATGAGTTTGAGGTGGCATCGACATCGGATGTATTGTTTGCACATTCGTTTGTGGAGCGTCAATCATTGACTGAGTTGCTGGCTGCGGCACGTTAGACATCACACCATCACGTGAAGACGAGCTCGGTTCATCTTCGTAGCGGTCTGTGATAGATAGTTTCCTGATAAGAACACTGTTAAGATTCATAACAACTTTTGACGGCAACAAGTGTGAGACAAATGGACACTCGTTGCGGTAGACTCTTACAATTTTGAATGCAATTTGTCTTCAGCTATGCAGGCTAGAAATCTGGGCAATAAACCTACTCTATTGACATAATAAACGCTATTCTAAAATGGAAAAACATAAAGTTAAAGCTAGGTGAGGTCCAATACAGCCTCAAGAAATGGCAATCACAGCCAAAAGTGCAAAAGACAATCAATGCAACCAGTAAACCTAAAGCATTCCAAAGGGCGCTTGCGGTAAGAGAAAAGAGGCTTAGTGGCCTTTTTTCATGACTAATTCTTGAGAACCTTGAAACTAATACTGAGTCATCCCTTAAGCGTTTGTTTTCGACCTATACACTTAAGCGAAAAGCAAAAACTACTAGGAGCACTTCAAAAAGCATTCTTGAGATTTCTAATCATAAACACCTTGTTCTTGAACGTTTGAGTATCTAGACTTTACTCTCTCACAGTACACTACTTTGCTATATTTACAAAGCACTATGGAACTTCTATGGGAGCTCATACTATCAATTTGATAATGGGAGATGTGAAAGTTTCGACATACGTGATGTAGTAGGGCGTGATACTTGACAGAACAAGAGTTCGTTATCTAAAATATTGTTGCCTCATAAATGGATCAAAGAAGAGGCAACGGCACCAGTTGGCTATCAAGCAAAATCGTAATTGAGGAGATAACTCACCAAGACTGGCCATGATCTCTTCAAGACTCGGCTGTAGCGACAACAAGCCGGGTTGCATGATATCGGCATTCCCACTTTGTGCTGAAAAACAGAAACTTTTGGAAACAAAAAGAAACAATCATGAATTTGTGAGAGAACCAAGTCGAAAAAGGTCAAATATGAGGACACTCACTAAACTCCTTCGGGTTCGGAAACATATACGGTTGATTGAGAGACTC